TATAGGATAATGGGGGTCATTGGCAATGGCTTTCGGGAGGTTTTTACCTTTCAAGGGCTCAAGCGAGACCTATCATCCTCTCTTACAAAAGGCTTTTCTTGTTGTACGTGCACTGATCACTAAGGAAGACGTATTGACCGGTCCGGGGCAAAAGGTGACACGCTAAAAACACTGCTGTAGATCAGGACAAGAAGTGGCGCTCTGTACCAATGTGTTCAAAGATATCTCGGTTACACTTTATTTTATGTTGTTTTTCTTACACTGAGTAATATTAAAGGGATAGTTCACTTTGAAATTAATTTTTGATATGTTTTATCTTACCTCAAGGGCATCCAAGATGTAGGCGCCTTTGTTTCCACAGTATTTTCAATTTTGACATTTTTCAGTCAAACCGTTGTTGTCTATCAGTCATACACTGGAGGCTAAGGGGGTCCACCAAAGAGCAGCACAGAGAAGTCCAAATTAAACATGATTTAATGACTCGTAAATGTTAGTACCCTTTAAGTAATACATGCACTTACTGTAGGGTTTGGGTTTGGTTGAGGGATAGTTGCATGTAATTATGTCTAATCTTCTGTTATAGTGAATGACACGGTTATTTAACTTTATTCAATGTGCTTTAAACAATGTGTGCTGTGTAAAGCACTATATATATATAAATGTGACTTGTCTGTCTCTTTTTCCACTCAACCGAATGACAAACGGCTACAGTTATGGATCAGATGGCGATAGACTTTATTAGATGCTGCATTTGGATCAAACCATTAGAGTAGTTCACTTTTCAAAAAACTGATTTTGCTGATAATTTACTCACCCCCATGTCATCCAAGATGTCCACGTCTTTCTTTCTTCAGTCGAAAAGAAATTAAGGTTTTTGATGAAAACATTCCAGGATTTTCTCCATATAATGGACTTCAATGGGGTCCAAACAGCTCAAGGTCCAAATGAGAGTTTCAGTGCAAACTGTTCAAAGGGCTTTAAACGATTCCAGACGATGAATAAGGGTCTTATCAACGAAACGATCGCTCATTTAAACAAATAAAAACAAGTTTAATAAATAAAAGTTTAAATAAATAAATCTTTTTTCCGAGTTAATTCGTTCGTTTCGTTCGTTGAATGAACCAAATGACACAAAAAAAGATTTGTTCATTTTGATGAACGAGTTCAAACAGGAGAGTCACGAACGCTCATCACAGAACAGAGCAAGGCGAGCATTTGAGCTTATAAAACTTAAACTTTGTTATTTATTTATTAAATGAGCGATCGTTTCGCTTGATAAGACCCTTATTCATCGTCTGGTGTCGTTTAAATTCTTTTCGACTGAAGAAAGAAAGGCATGGACATCTTGGATGACACGGGGATGAGTAAATTATCAGCAAAAGTTTTTTAAATCTGAACTACTCCTTTAAGAATGACTGAGTTATAGTGATGCTTAACTTATCAAACTCGCCATGTCGAGTGTTTAGCCCGTTCTCATCCCGAGGCGTCATAAAGGTGACGCTTTTGACATCGCGTCTACATCCGACGCACATGGCACTCTTTAGCGTCGATATGAGACGCAGGTATATACTGTATGGGCCAGAAGGCGCCTCCTAGTGGTCTAACCCCAACACTACCCCAGACCTAAACCTACCCATAACCGAAGCGTTATATTGAAGCTAAAGGGTGCCATGTGCCTTGGATTTGTTTGCTTGTTTGGATGAGTTTGCTGTGACAGACTCGAGAGGTCAGACGCGTGTGTATCTGTCTCTCTGTGGTAATGCCAGATAAAAACACATCTTTCCAGGAACAATGAGCTCAGCGTGAGGCTGCGTCTGACAGACTGCTGAGAGAACAACAGATGCCAGGGAAATAAACACCAGAAATCAAAGTGGACCGCAGAAACATTAATGCTGTGAATACATTTGCCATCTTTGCATAAAAAGTTTGTCAAAGATTCAATAAAAAAGACCATATTGGCAGTGAAACTGTCTATTGGTTGTTCAGCAGCTGCTTTATAAAGCCGAAGCGACCCAGAACTCTTATCTGTGTGTGTTGTTTGGATGAGTAAAGCTTTAAAAATGACATTTTAGGCTGGTGTGTGTGTGTGTTATGTTGGCAAGTCCTCGACTTTCACACAAAGTCTGAGTGTTTTTATGTGCGATTGGTTCGTCATCATCTGAGTGTTCAGTTTGTTGGGACGTGTAATGTGAGCTGCTTTGGACACAGAGAGTTGAAAAGGCCACAGGAGTAAATTCAACCAAAAGAAGATGACAAGGAAAGGTCAAGCAGGCGAAGTATTGAAACAAGGCAAGAAGACATTGACTTTGGTATAGGACACAGGAAATCAATTCGAACATGAGCGGTGAATTTTCAGTATTCTCTGACTGTTGTCTTTGTATGTGCTTACTGCTTTTATTCACATTTTTGGGCCACCATTCGAGTAATGGTGCTGGAAATTCAGCTTTGATGACAGGAATAAATTACACTTTACTATATATTAACATAGAAAACAGATGATGTAATAATACTAATACTAATAATTTGTAATAATATTTCAAAATTTGTATATATTTCTGATTAAATAAATGCATCCTTGGTGAGTATCATTGTTGCATGGATTCCCATTTAAACTGGTTTTGTTCGAACCAAAAAAGTATAAACACTCCCCATAGAAATAATTAAATGAAACAAATTTGTTTTAACAGTATTGTTGATGGGCAGAACACTTACTCACTTTACTGACTCCAGAGTTTTAATCATTTTGCACATACAGTTACAGAAAAGATTATGCATATTTTAAAAAAAAAAAAAAACCCATTAAGATCTTTCAAAGTTATTTTATAGTAAAGTTTTCAAAGTTATTCTTTCAAAGTCTATTTAATAGTAAGTAAACTTGTAAAATTGATTAACAAAATGTTTTGTTAATGTAACAAAATCTTGAGTGAAAATTCTACTTTCATATTTGTTTATGATGAATTAAGCCAAAAAAAAAAAAACAATATTATAGTGGCTTACATTTTAATAGTGAACTGCTTTGTCTTTGGGAAAATATTAAATAAAAATGAAAGGATTGAACCAAACCATCAATATAATTTGAGAGTTAATATTATACAAATTAGAGTATTTTTGTTGATGTTTGTCTATAATATTTTTGAAAAAATGTTGTAAATTATTATTTTTTTAATAATTGTTGTTTTTTCAGTGCAGCTTCAAAATAATAAAAAGAACATGGTATTAAAAAGTTAATGTTGACAAATTCATCAATTTTGAAATGCATTCAGGACAATAGTGTCATTATTCAGCTCAATTGAAACCTGTCTGACTATAATCTATAACACAATTTGGTTACGCTTTATTTGACTTATCAAGTGCATGTCAACTTATTCCAACACTACCAGTCTACTAATACTCTACTAACACTGTGAGGAGAGTTAGTAGACATGTACGTGCAATGTTTCTTACAGAATGTGTTAAAGGGAGCATCACAATGAAGTGAAACCCACAATTGCAATGCATTTAATACATTCTTGCATTTCCCTGGGAGTCAAGCCCATGAACTCGCCATTACAAGCTCCATGCTCTACAGCAATGCATTTATTTCTGTTTTACTCTTTTAACATTGTCACCTGTTAAAGCGTTCCAGCACAGCCTTGTCAAACACCCGTGCTGATATCTCCTCACAGGAGCCCCAATGAGCCGTCGCACACGTCCCCATCTGCCAGGCCTTCAGACAGCGACACAGATGGAGCTCCAGAGCTTTCATCCGAGTGGATCCGGAGCAAATGGAGCCGAACACACCAGCACAGGTGAGACCAGATCAGCCACGAGAACATGTAGAACGCCGTTACAGCGGGGCTTCGGCCAACAAAGTGTGAAATGCAATCTTTTCCTTATAAACGGCAAGAAATCCAGAGTCCTGAGCCAGTTTGGATGATAAAGTGTAGATTGAATCCACTGTAGATTGATCCTGGGTGTGTAGATTGAATTCACAACACAACAGGGAATCTGCAGTGTTCACACACAAGTTCAAAGATCCGCTGGGAAACTAACTCTTTTACTTAAGATTAACATATAGAGTCACAAAAGTGAAAAAATTAAAAACATAGCTAACGTTTCAGTCCATTTTGTACTATGTTCATTGCTTCCCAGCTAGGATTTTTTTGTTCTAAAAATGTTCTGAGAACATTACCATGCAGTGTTCTAATGTTTTCAGCGGGTAGTTTTCTTTTGGTTCCTAAAATGTTCTCTTAAAAGTTCTAATAACATTCTCTAAAAACGTTCTAAATATGTTAAATGCTAACATTGTTAGAACATTATTTCCTGACGTTCTTATAACATTTTCAGCGGGTAGTTTTCTTTTTGTTCCCAGAATGTTCTCTTAAAAGTTCTAATAACATTGTCTAAAAACATTTAAAATATGTTTATTGCTAACATTGTTAGAACATTATTCCCTAATGTTTTTATAACATTTTCAGCGGGTAGTTTTCTTTTGGTTCCTAAAATGTTCTCTTAAAAGTTCTAATAACATTGTCTAAAAACATTTTAAATATGTTTATTGCTAACATTGTTAGAACATTATTCCCTAATGTTTTTATAACACTTTCAGCAGGTAGTTTTCTTTTTGTTCCCAGAATGTTCTCTTAAAAGTTCTAATAACATTCTCTAAAAACATTCTAAATATGTTAAATGCTAACATTGTTAGAAAATTATTCCCTGACGTTCTTATATCATTTTCAGTGGGTAGTTTTCTTTTTGTTCCCAGAATGTTCTCTTAAAAGATGGCATAACATTCACTAAGAACACTCTGAAAATGTTTTGTGATGACCTTCTATAAAGGTTTAATCATAACATTTTTAAAACATTATCCCCTAACTTTCTTATAAAGTTTTTAGCGGAAGTTTATTTTTGTTCCCAAAATGTTCTCTTAAAACCCCTCAAAAATGATTAGCTATAACATTGTTAAAGCATAACATTTTATTAATCTCAAAACTAAAACATCAAAATCTAACAGATTTAAATGGCATCCACATAAATTATTAGAAGTTCTGCGTACAGTAAATGCCCAACATTACATGAAGAACTCAGTAAAGTCACTCATGCGTCTTGACTCCAGTGTTTGCTCAGAGCACTCATCATCAGTCTTTGCTTGTTTTGGTTCTTGCCATATTTAAAAAAATAATCCAGGAATCTGTATTAATAATAGTGTTCTACTATTCTCTCTTCTAGTTGTCCAGCTGCTCCCCCAGTTAGCATTGAGCTCTGTTCTCTGTGTGCACGGTAGAGTTTTTCCTCATAGCCTAAAAAAGAAGATCATGCAAAAGTGTAAACATAAAGAATACACATACATTAAGATCACAAGCAATATTGACATTGAAAACTTTCAAAATTAGCCAGCCTAATTAGCAGTCAGAAATTATGTAAAGACTAATTTATTGAAAGTATAAATATGATAAATTATGAGTATCTTTTTTGTTTCTGTAATTTAAAACATACTTAATCCATGTATCCAATATCTTAATACAATAAAGTTTTAAAAATTGATATTTTTCTTACACAAATGCTTCGCTTTAAAAGGGCTTTATAACCCCGCCAGAGTCATGTGGTGGATTACTTTTATCATGGATGGATGCGCCTTGATAGACGGCCATTCACTGCCATTCTAAAAGTCAGAAGAGTCAGGACATTTTTTTAAATATAACTCAGATAGTATTCATCTGAAAGAAGAATGTTATATACACCTGAAGCCTTGAGAAACGCTCTTTCCAATTCATTAACGTTAACCTCTAACGTTATATGAATTACTGAATTATTATTAACTTTTACTTTCAAAAGACATTAAGATCACTTTTAAGTAAAAAATACAGTATTCGTATACATAGAACACAATACCGGCATTATAGTAGGCTACCTTGGTTGTAAATGGAGACTTTATTGTGTCATCGGTAAGTTAATCATCTTGAAACAGTCCGTTTGGAGTCTGCATTAAAACAAATCTAGCTGTTATTCAAAAGTAGCATACACTCAGATTTATTGCGACTGTCATACAATTCTAAGAAAGTAGAACGTTAGGTCTAATACTGAAAGACATCAAGGATAAGAGAAAGCTATGTAAACTGAAAAAATACACACAAAAACTTACAGTTGTGAAAGAGTTCCGTTGACCAGGAGTTCTGTTGTTTTGGGCCAATGTGTCGCCAATTTAGACAACGGACATTCTGCGCCGATTTCTTCAACAGAAACGTTGCTTTATTTGCGCTGTTTGTCGAGTTCAAATGTTCTTACGTCATGGGAACATCGCGCTGTGATTGGTGGTTTTAAACGTCGATCTACAGCGACCTCCAATCAGCTTCTCATCTCTTGTAAACGCATTTGTCGCAACAGTTCATTTCAGAGTAGCCTAATATATCCTCAAAACACTTTACCGTATGCTGTTTTGACAATGTTCCTCTTTCATTATGGTAAATTATGCCATTATTCTATAGGTTAAAATAATTCTAAAATCTGTTACCTAAACAGCTTCCTTAAAATATCCTTACAATTTTATGAGCTTTTGTTAACATATATTATGAGATTTTGTCATCTCAGGTAAATGTCCACAAAACATTTGATGAATGTTGCTTTGATAATGTTCCTCCTTTGTTATTGTGCCAATGATTTATAAAAGATAACAACATTTCGACAAAAAATCCTCAAAATGTATCATGCAAAATGTTTGTTAAAAAGTCAATTTAAAGGAATGTTTTATTAAAAACATTTTATCATCTCAGGACTAAATAATATATCCTCAAAACATTTTGCGAACGTTAATTTGATTATGTTCTTCCTCTGTTATTATGGTAGGCCCACGGCCGCATTAACCATAGGGCTAGGCGGGGCTTAAGCCCCGGGGCCCAAGCAAGGAGGGGGCCCGTGATTGGCTGTGGAGCAGATACTGCAAGCCATCTGATTACCAAAGCCTTACCACGCAACGTCCCCCACAAATTATCCCTGTTATTTAGTTGCACTTTGCCTTATCATGGAATCATTATCATTAATAGAGACGTTCGCAAAGACCCGCCTTTTTTAGGTACTATGTGACGGACGGGCCACGAGCCAGGCGGCTCTCGCGAGTCACGCACATCATGTTCTCATGCGCTCACGCAGTGAAAAATACTTCGCGGGGCAAAGACTAACGTTACACCGAGTGATTACGAGAGAGAGTTCAGGGCAGCTTACTGTTGATATGAAACAAAGTCTCAACTTTCAAATATTGTCATTTAAGTAATTTAAACATTACCGTTTTCAAGTTAATGTCCACCGACTGACAGCTTTGTTGTCGGACAAAGTTGCGTATTCGGCGTTATGATTGGCCAGGCCACCTGTCAATCAAACCCCCGTGGGCAGCAGGGCCAACGGCTCTGAGCAGGGCATGGTAAATTGAAACGTCAGGTTTTAATTTGATATGACAAATATATTTATTCTATATTTAACTTGTGAACGACCGACCAGCTGCTGCTGCACGTAGGCCTATAGATGATTGCTGCCTGCGCCTTATTAGAGGTTATATATCAACCAATAAATCGCCTTTACTCTTCTCTTCATTCTAGTCTATTCTTAAAACACAGCGTCATCATCGACCTCACAAACTTTCGGTAAGTTTGAATATTAACTTGATGGATGTATAATTTTGCTTTTTGTGTTTGATTAAACTCTATATTCGCCTAAAGGACTGGCGATAATATATCCGGTAGAAATATTTAAATTTTGCTGCGCCATCATGATGTAAGTTTATCATTTAAACGCGTTTTTAAACGTTGTGGTTTGGATACAAAATATTTCAAACTGCTCAGGCACAGTGAGCAGCGGGAGAATTTATTTTGTAAATGCTGGTTTTAAGACCAAGGTGAACCATAGACTGTGGTGAACTTGAGACGGTTTTGCACAGCGCACTTGAATCCGACTCTGAGGTCTCAAAGTGACAGACGCCGCTAATAAAGCTGCTGTCGCCATGTGTGTCAATAATGTTAATCAAACATCAGAAAGAAAGTAATTTACTGCATTTGACTGAATTACTTTTGCAAAATTAACAAGAATGAATGTTGAATTTATAGTGAAAACCATGTATTGTATATTTGATTACTTTATATAATATTATTCAGTGCTTTAAGTTTTTCATAGGTCGATTTATTGTGCCTTTGTTCTATTTTAATTTGTGACTCTTGTCATCAGTAAGCTTGAGATTATTTTCTTAAGCTACTATTATTTTTTGGTGATATTGAAATTGGTCACAATAATTATGAAATTTTAGTCAATACATTTTGATATGATAAAAAAATCATGTTAAAAGTAACATAACTTAACTGTGAAGTATATCATGGATAAAATGACTCGTAGGCTATAATAATATAACATTTAGCTCATGTAGTTGGTGACCTAAAGTGGTGGTGGGGGGGGGGCCCTGCAGTAACTCATAGCCCCGGGGCCCAGTGAGCTCTTAATACGGCCCTGGGTAGGCCTACATTCAATATTTTATGAAAGATCATTCTATAAACTTTTACCTCATCAACATCCTCAAAATGTTACATTTAAAACATTCTAGTTTTGTTAACACGTCACATTACAAGAATGTTTTATAAAAACATTCCATCATCTCAGGCCTCAATGATATCCTCAAAACATTTTTCGAACGTTGATTTGATAATGTTCCTCCTCTGTTATTATGGAACATTGTTTCAGTGTTTTATTGAGAACGTTGTAATATCTGTTATCTCAACAACATTCCCAAAACATCCTTAACATGTTACAGTGTTAATGTTTAAACACGTCACATTACAAACATTTTATTAAAAAAACATTCCATCAACTCAGGCCTCAATGATATCCTCATAACATTTTGCGAACGTTGATTTGATAATGTTCCTCCTCCGTTTTTGTGGGACATTGTACCAATGTTTTATTGAGAACATTGTAATATCTGTCATCTCAACAACATTCCGAAAACATCCTCAACATGTTACAGTGAAAATGTTCTAGTTTTGTTAACACGTCACATTACAAGAACATTTTATAAAAACATTCCATCATCTCAGGACTAAATAACATCCTCAAAACATTTTGCGAACGTTAACCTGATAATGTTCCTCCTCTGTTATTATGGAACATTGTTTCAATGTTTTATAAAAGATCATTCTACAAACCTTTACCTCATCAACATCCTTAAAATGTTAAATTTAAAACGTTCTAGTTTTGTTAAACACGTCACATTACAAGAACATTTTATAAAAAAACATTCCATCAACTCAGGCCTCAATGATATCCTCATAACATTTTGCGAAAGTTGATTTGATAATGTTATTCCTATGTTTTTATGGGACATTGTACCAATGTTTTATTGAGAACATTGTAATGTCTGTTATCTCAACAACATTCCCAAAACATCCTCAACATGTTACAGTGAAAATGTTCTAGTTTTGTTAACATGTCACATTACAAGAACATTTTATAAAAAACATTCCGTCATCTCAGGACTAAATAATATCCTCAAAACATTTTGCGAACGTTAACCTGATAATGTTCCTCCTCTGTTATTATGGAACATTGTTTCAATGTTTTATAAGAGATCATTCTACAAACCTTTACCTCATTAACATCCTCAAAATGTTAAATTTAAAACGTTCTAGTTTTCTTAACATGTCGCATTACAAGAATGTTTTATAAAAAACATTCAGTCATCTCAGGCCTCAATGATATCCTCATAACATTTTGCGAGCGTTGATTTGATAATGTTCCTCCTTTGTTTTTATGGGACATTGTACCAATGTTTTATTGATAACATTCTAATATCTGTTATCTCAACAACATTCCCAAAACATCCTCAACATGTTACAGTGACAATGTTCTAGTTTTGTTAACACGTCACATTACAAGAACGTTTTATAAAAACATTCCATCATCTCAGGACTAAATAATATCCTCAAAACATTTTGTGGACGTTGATTTGATAATGTTCCTCCTCTGTTATTATGAGATATTGTGCTAATGTTTTATTGAGAACATTGTTTAATCTGTTATCTCAGCAACATTCCCAAAACATCCTCAAAATGTTACAGTGAAAATGTTATATCTTAGTTTACATTTAACCTTATAGGAACATTATTTGAAATGAGAAAACATCCTTAAAACATTCTTAAAACATTGCATTCAAATGTTTTATTTAAAACATTAACCAAACCTCTAGGGAATGTTAGCCAAAGTTCTAAGAACGTTCCCTGTTAGCTGGGTTACCCCTTTTCAATATTAGTCAACTATGTATATACTCATGCAGTTTGAGGCATGACGGCCATATAGAGCACCTGCTACAGTATTTCAATCCCTAAAAACAGTGGGAAATACTAACATTAAAAACACTTAAAGTGCCGTAATGTGCTAAAACAGTGATATTAAAAGATCATATTCAGTATTTATATTTTATAATAAATACAGGCGAACATGAAAGCAATGCATCATATGGTTAAGCAATTTCTTCGAGAATTCCTTTATTTTTTTATTATATTTTACAGTAGAGCATATTTTATATAACTTTAAATACATATTGCATACATTTGAGCTCGTCTAACAAATATTACAAGAAAAAATTAAACATTCAGCAGTAATTTAAGTGTAATTGACCAGTCTCTGTTGTCCTGCATCCACCGTAGCGGCGCTGGATCACATGCCGGAGCTTGTGTCGTGTTCAGCGGAGAAACAAAAAAACTACCCAAACACTGATTTGTTATGTCTGACCCAGGATCTGGGTTACACAAAAACTACCCAAACACTGGGTTGTTACGTCTGACCCAGGATCTGGGTAACACAAAACTACCCAAAAACTGGGTCGTTATGTCTGATACAGGATCTGGGTTACACAAAAACTACTCAAACACTGGGTAGTTACGTCTGACCCAGGATCTGGGTTACACAAAAACTACCCAAACACTGGGTTGTTACGTCTGACCCAGGATCTGTTTAACACAAAAACTACTCAAACACTGGGTTGTTACGTCTGACCCAGAATCTGGGTAACACAAAAACTACCCAAACACTGGGTTGTTACGTCTGACCCAGGATCTGTAAAACTACCCAAACACTGGGTTGTTACATCTGACCCAGGATCTGGGTAACACAAAAACTACCCAAACACTGGGTTGTTACGTCTGACCCAGGATCTGGGTAACACAAAAACTACCCAAACACTTAAAAATAAGCCAAAAAATTTAAAAGGCTCAACCCAGAATTTAGGTAGAATTTTTTTTTTTTTTTTTTAGAGAGCTGCAATAGTCTTCACTCAATATTAGAATATCTGCAGGAGGAATAAATGTAGCTCAATTAAACCTCTGGCAACAAGACATTTAGGGTCACAGCAATATTTTGCCATATACATCATCTCATTTTCTGTAGGCACAAAAACCAACAGGAAAAAACTCAGGAAAGG